ATTATGGGATATATTATTATAGTTTTTAGTAAAGTCCTGCTGATTCTAGAAGAAGATTTGGCTAGATATTTCTTGATATTAATAAAAATTATTATTATATATCCCTGCATTCGCCATCAAATCTTATTCTTTTATTTGGTTACGCTTATTGAAAAAATATTGTTCCATTTCTCATCTAGTTTTGCTTTCTATAGGCCGATGTCGAGAAAGTAACTAGCTTTATGGAGGAAAGCTAGCAAAGCGTCACCACTACCAATAACATCACCATTACCATCACCATCATCGTCTGTATTAGGAAAGAGACAAAGAGATCAGGCTTTCACAAACTCCTTTTCGAAGAAACAATGCGTAGAATCTGGCTTTTGTCCGAGTGTAGATGTAACTTTGCAAGCCGATGGATTGGTAGATATTCTGGAGACCGTGAAGTCTACTGTGCGTGTTTTGACCAAAAAATAATCACCCTTGGTTCTTTCCGTTCCTATAAAAGTTCGAATTATTTGTTAGTGGATTCTGGCCAGTGGTATATTGAAAGAATAGGTAGTGATGGAGACTGACACCATCTTTTTTGTGACCTGACGATAAAGAAACTGGATAATTCCTACCCTGAAGCTATCCTTGAAGTCGTAGCAACAGGTTCCATTTCTACACTTATGAAACATTTCGATCGGGCAATGAAGTATGCCGACCAGCTTTACCCTAAGGAAGTTTGGATCGTAGGGAGGATTCTGTTGTATCTGATCCATACTGGCCCTGTTAGAAACTTCAAGATATATAAAAACTTCATTAGGATGGAGTTATTTGCGTTTTCACCTTATGGCACTGATGCTCAATTAGTTGAAGTTGATGCTAATTCTGTTACTCATTATACCGATCAGTTTAAGAATTATGATCGGAAGAGATTTTCAATGGAAAAGCTGATTGTATTACGCGATTGAAGATTTCTGGAACAGGGCTGTTTTTGGATCTGGTGTTAGATATAGTGAAAAAGTCACTATTATTGTATTTAATGAATTATCAAATAACAAATAAATAAAGGGATAGAGGAATAAATATCATACATATCTGACATGATGAGGGATTTGAGAACGTGCGACTAAGTACCAGGTTTCGGGATAGTGATGGCGAGTTTTATGAAATAATAGATGAGCAAATTTTGTCTTAATTTACTCATTAACCATTAATGGAGTTCGCCTGAAAGTCTTATACAAATCTCCAAATAAAATTATTCGTTTATTATGTATTTTTGCGTGCAAACTTCCAAGTAGCCATGTTAAAAAAGCGTACCACAGGTTTTGAATCACTCTAAAGTTCTTGTTCCATTAGAATTAATTTAATCGAATTGATTCATATTTATGCCATATATTAGGGGTTGAAACGAATGAATAAGGCATTTATTTATTATGAACAATCAACTAATATAGGAAATATTCGTGGAATATTTCAAGTTGGTATTTAGCAAATAACGAAAATTATTCACTGTCTCATTATGATAACATGACGTGTTATTAATCATAATTTTAATCACAGATTTATTTCTTTTTTTTATTAGTTATTTCCCCAGGTTTATTAGTTATTTACCTGATTTTTCCCCAGGCTTATTAGTTATTTCCCCGATTTTTTATTTGTTACTTTCCGAAATTTTTAAAAATGGGATAGAAATGATTAATGACACAAGTCCCTGTCATGTCGTCATATGAAATGGTGAATAACTCGTTTATTCCGCCGGTCAGTACTATTCAAAGAGATATTTCTTCAAGGGGGTTTTAAATTTTTGTCACATGATTTAGTAAAATTTCAGCACTGTAAATACCAAATCGCTAACCACCAATCTGGGCATGGTTACAGATAATTCAACCTTCTGATTTCAATGTATCTATACAATATAAACAGTCGACTTTCTTTATAAACAGGAGGAAACGTCGATATTACACAACTGATATTTCACCTGGTATGCAATATATAAAAAATTATTTTAAAATACCAGATCATTCTACTAGTACATATTATGATTATAATTTTATTATAAAATATTAATCATAACATGTACTAGCGAATGATCTGGTATTGTAAAATATTTTTTTTATATATTGCATACTGGGTGCAATATCGGTTGTGTAACATCAATATTTCTTTCTGCTTTCTTTATATCGAACTTTTTATAAAGAGCTCACTATATGGGGTTGAGTCAATAGAAACCAAGCAAATATTTTTTAATAAGTTGTTTTAAAACTTTAAACAAGGATAACTTAACAAAAACTTAATCAAATTTAGTAAAAAATTTTTTAAATTAATTCTACAAATTTGTAAATATTATTTTAAAAAAATTTATTAGGTATTTTAAAAATACATTCTTGGTTAATAAGAGTACATTTAAGCATATGTATAACTTGGTTGCTTATTTAAGTAATCCACCCAAAGGTTTTACACAATATGCTATACCTATAACTAGGAGATTATCTATTTAAACTCTCTGATGTTTTATATTTTGTATTATTACTACAATTATGTTAACCCATAACCTTATGCTGCTTCAATTAAAAATCATCTAGATTGATATCTGTTATACTACTTGTGCTTTAACTTTATAAATAATCTAATAGAATTCTCATACTATCAGGTTACTCTAAGAAGTATAATATATACTTTCTAATCTTTTTATATTTATACATTTCTAGATTAGACTTTGAATATCTTCTGTAGCAGCCAAAACTATTATTAGCAGTTAGGGTTAACTGTTGAACTGCACAATTCTAATATTCATATCTTTACAAAGTTTAATACTTGTATTAAACTAGTTTTTATATCGATCTCTTTCTAATTACCAAACCAGTTAGCCTGAATAGATTATTGTATCTAGGCTTTAAATGCCTTTTGGTTTTACTTTCCTTGATTCTAATTCCATAACATAGGATTTTTTTTTCAGTATAATTTTGGCAGCCAAGTTGATGAACTCTTTTTGCTTTAGAGTTTTTATCCAATTTTTTGGTTTCCAGTTCTAGCTTTTTGTAATATTGTTAAAGATCTTCACTATCTCTTTGTTCAGATTTTGCTGAACAGGTTTCAAATATTACTGTTTTTTAGATTTGAAGAGCTTTTATTTCAAGATGATAATATTAAAATTATAAGTAATATACCCAACTAATCATTAATAAATGTCGTGGCTGAAGCTGGAAATGGCTGAAGCTGGAAATCAGATAAGCTGATTTAAAAAAATACGTCCTACCAAAATCTACTTATACTCTTTTATTATTAAAACTAACCCTAAACCCTAACCTAACCCTAAAAAAAAACCCCTAACAAAAGGCCCTAAAATTTTTTAAAAATTTTATATTAAAATAATTAAAATTTCCAGCATCAGCCGTTTCCAGCATCAGCCGTGACAATAAATATTATTGGTATACAGATTTATTTTCTAAAAACATCTTTGGTGAGATTTGTATTCTAAACTTACTGCTTGGAGCACCCACTATATGGACTATTCACTATATCTCTGGTTTCCTCAAACTTTTAATTCAGATAGTCTGAAAAGGTGATCCTTTTCTTCAGTTACCTGGTAGCCTAGTTGGTATAATACTTTTGCCAAACATCTTTCTTAGATGATTCAGTACCATTAAAAGTTTGTATTACATCTCTATTTGAGACTTGCCAAGCAGGCTTTTGTGTGCTCTAATCCTTGGATTAACCTGGCTGCTTTATTTAGATTTTGTGTAATTCATAATTATACTAATATTCCACAGCTTTTTAGTATAAGCTAGTGCAACCAAGATTGCAAGTGTCAATCTGTTAGATTATATACAATCTGCTATAATACATTCTGTAAAATTCGAATTTCATTACTAATAAGAATTAAACTCTTGTTTTGCTACTTGGAAGTGTAATAACTTACCAACTTCACTAAGTTATTATATCTATTAAGTTGATATTTATAAAGAAATTTTGATATATAAAATTTTATAAAATTTGGTGTGTAGCTTAGATTAATATTAATGAGGTTAATATTAATAAGAGTAATCTAAAAAAACACAGCATGTAGGGAGATTTGTCCATTATCAATGCACCTTATTAAACTTACAAAAAGCATTTGTATTATTAAGAATGAAATAAAATTATAAAGTAAAATTTAACAAGAAAAAAATTTTGTTAAAGTACAAAAGTCTGTTTGTTATATAAGTTTTTGAAATATAACCAATTTTAAGCACAAAATTTTTTTTACATTATTCCTGATTGTGTTACATTATACTTGATCGCAATTTAATTATTGGTCAATTATCACATATGCAAACAAGTCCTCCTGCATCCTGATACTGTTAAATAACCTATATAATTTTTATATAACTAAGTTTTTTGTAATATAGCTATTATATATAATGCTTATTATTTTAAATTTACAAGATTTTGGAATGTCTATAGAATAGGTAGATAAACTTGCAAACTCTACAACTTTGCTATTAAAAAATTAATGATTATTAATTATTAGTAAAAATAATTTCTTATATTGTTTATTTATTCTATAAAATATTTAGATTTTGTATTTTATAATTACAAAATAAATATCAATTTACTCTAGCCTGATTTGAACTATTAATCTTGTTTATAAAGATTTAAAAACTTTACTAAGCTATAAACTCCCAAAAAACTTATAAACTATTTTTTTAATATAAATTTGTATTTTATTAATATTTTGTTTATAAATTTGTATGAAGAATTAGCAAAATAATCAAGTTTATTATAATAAAATCTCTAAATATATATACAGTATATACTCTTGAAATCAAACTTTAATATATATTATATAATTAGAAACCTATATATATATTTAGAATAAATATGCTTTCTAAAAATGTATTTGTAAAAGTTTTGCTATAATGTAAACAAGATAATAGCATCAATCACCGGGTAATAGACACGAATGGCGTAAGCAAGCGTGGTATGTTTTTATAATTATATGATATAATTCATTTTTAATAAAGGTTATAATAACTAAATTAATTGGCCAAAGATCACGATTTGACCTACAATCATACGAGCAAATAAACGCTAAACCACCGAGATCATACGTTCTGTTTTTTTTACTGACAAAAAATTAGCTGAAGTTATGTACAGTATATACGTATAAACTATGTAACATATTTATTGATCATTAATTTAATCAAATTTAATTTAATCAAAATTTACATGTACAGTTTAATTTAAAATGGTTTGCAAACAAGTGAAGGAGCAGAATGGTTCTTATAAAATTCTATAACCTCCTTGGCCTTAGCCGCAGTATTCTCAGGAGTAAATCCATATTTTTTATACAATTCTTTGTAAGGACCGGAAGAGCCAAAAGATCTCATTCCTAAATTTGCATGTGCATACTTAGACCAACCGAAAATAGAAAGTGCCTCAATACTTAAAACAGGGATGCCATCGGGGAAGACAGACAATCGATACTCCAAACTTTGTTCTTCAAAAAGTTCAAAGGATGGTAGAGACACAACACGCGCCTTAATACAGTCTTTTTCTAATAAATTGGCTGCATCAACAGCGATTGAAACTTCTGTACCAGTTCCCACTAAGATGATTTGCGCTCCATCAGCTTCTTTCAATACATATCCTCCTTTGAGTGTCTTTTCAACTGAAGAACCTTCTAAATTAGGGACATTTTGACGTGAAAGAGCAATCACTGAAGGGCGTTCAGTGTTCTGGATCGCAGCAGCATATACACCAGAAACCTCATTTCCATCAGCAGGTCTAAAAAATAGAATGTTTGGCAATGCACGGAGACTAGCTGCGGTTTCAATGGGTTGATGAGTTGGCCCATCTTCCCCTATAATATTAATGTATAAAAATTACAATGCTTGTAAACATCCAAACTTTTTTTAATCAAAAAAAAAAAAAAGACGAACCTAAACCGATGGAATCATGAGTCATTATATAAATTGCGCGAAAACACGAAAGCGCCGATAGACGAACAGCACCCAAACCATAGCTAATAAAGTTCAAGAATGATGCTCCAAATGGAATTATACCTCCATAGGAAGCAAGGCCATTCAGAGTAGCAGCCATGCCATGTTCACGAACCCCAAATCTTACATACCGTCCACTATATGTACCCAATCCCCCAGACTCTGGTTGAAATTCAATAGCAGTTTTCCATCGTGTTAAATTAGAAGGTGTTAGATCTGCAGAGCCACCAAAGAGCTCTGGAAGCACATCAGCAATTTTATTCAAGACTGTCTCTGATGATTTTCTAGTGGCAACGGGAGGATCGGAGGGGGTGTAGCGAGGTAAATGATCAGTCCAATTGTCTGGTAATTTATTGGAGAACCTACGTTTTATTTCACTACCCTATAGTTTAAACGTGAATAAGATAATAAGTTTCAACAGAATCAGTTACAATTTTATGAACAGGCTATCAAATAAATTTGCACTGTTAATACTTGTAATGTCGCACAAATGATTTGAGACTGCCTAATAAATCCTTGATATATTTTTACATAACTAGAACAATCTCAAACTGTTTTGGCGAACATGTCAATTAGTACTAAGTTATATTTCATTCTATAATACCTAGTCCAGTGCGTAAAGACTTTCAATGTGGATCATGTATTATTTGGCTTACCAATTCAGGATATTCTATACAATACTTTTCCAAAAGTTGTTTCCATTCTGCTTCTGCTTTAGCTCCTCTTTCACGAAAATGTTTACAGTATTCGTAAACCTGAAAAAATTATTATTAAAAAGAAAAAATAAAATTTAATAATACTAATAATAATTAAACTATGGTTAATGAAGCTAACCTCATTCGGTACGTGGAAGAATTGTTCAGGATTGAAGCCATATTTTTTCTTGACTTCAACAATATCATCCGGAGCCAAGGGACTACCATGAACCTTTTCGCTACCTTGGTGTTTGGACCCAATACCAATAATTGTCTTGACTTTTATGATGGATGGTTTGTCTGTTACCTTCTTGGCTTTTTCAATAGCAGCGGCAATCCCATCTAAATCATTATCACCATCAGCTATATACTGCGTGTGCCAACCATAAGACTCAAAGCGTTTTAAGACATCTTCCGTAAAGCTCAGGTTAGTGTGACCTAGAGATTTAATTGCAATGCTTAATATTTTGGGCATAATATTTAATGACAACAGAACAAAATATAATTTAATTATACCATCAATGGTTACGTAATTGTCGTCATAAAGTACAATTAAGTTGCCGAGCTTAAGATGGCTAAATAACAGAATTAGATCAATCAAAGTTATAATATATAAGAGGTATCAGATAATTGATTACCCGGCAAGCGATGCCGCCTCGGAGGAAACGCCCTCTTGAAGGCAACCGTCACCAGTAATTACGTAAGTGTGATTTGTGAACAAGTCGTAGCATGGTTTATTAAAGGTAGCAGCAAAATGAGCTTGAGCCATAGCCATTCCAACTGCATTGGAAAAACCTAGGAACAATCAAATGAATAATTAAAAAGTAAACTTATCACGATGGCATTAAAGAGATTGTAATTTACCTTGGCCAAGAGGACCTGTAGATACTTCTATACCCGGTGTGAGATGAGACTCCGGATGCCCCGGAGTTCTAGAATGCAGTGTATTTGTGATCAGATAACACATTAACACATTACAAAGATCATAAAAAAATGGGACTGTAATTAAACTCACTTGCTATCAGTTTGACGAAATTGTTTCAAGTCATCCATGGTGAGATCGTATCCGAGTATGTGAAGTAAAATGTATTGCAATGCACACGCGTGTCCATTGGACAATACGAAACGATCTCGATTAGGCTAAGATAGCAAAATGATCGAGAGTTCCATTAATAAATCTATTACCACATTTTTAAGAAAGATGTACTATTTTCGTTTTCATTAATTAAATGAATATCACAAGTTCACATTGATCAGGTGAAACGTATACATCCAAAAAAGGCGATCTCTGCAGCTTTTTTTTTTGTTTCCCGATCAAGGGTTCATTTGATTAGTTTCATAATTCGCATAATTACTTACCCATTTTGGATTTGTTGGGTTTGCAGTAATGAACCTTGAGAAAAGAATGTGTGCTAATGGAGCACATCCCATGGGTGCACCTATCAAACAGATAATTAAGAATAAGTGAAATTTACAGAATTACGCATACAAATACTAATCTTTGACGGGAACTATGAACAGAACCAACCTGGATGTCCTGAGTTGGCTTTACGCACGACATCAGCAGCAAGAGTACGAATGGTGTTGATAGTGAGAATATCAAGTGAATTGGTCATTCTTAAAATTTGGATACTATAGTGAAAAATTTTCGATATTTATTTTCGAACCAGTGGCTTTGTGTTTACATTTCTATGTTGACTATGTTGACTATGATAATATGAACTATACACTTACCAAGATAGAAAAAAAGTACGATGGAAACTGGTTACTCATGATGAATCATAAGTATATATATATATATATCAAAAATTAAAAAATCCGGAAATCTTATCTATAAAAATTGCAGGTTTTTCATTTGACGATATAAAAATGAGATTATTCTGAGAATTTTTATTGGCTATTGATCACGTTTATCTGTTACAAAATTTGAGACATCGGACTAAATTTGTAAGCCGTCTAACTTTAAAATTTAAATATCTTAATACGTAAAATCTATACAGTAACAATCAAACCTAAAAAAGAACGTACGTACGTACGTATACATTACTAATGTCAATTTTATATTTTTAAGATTATCATTAAAATGAAATGCATTAGTCATGATCGAACATTACAGTATACCTGATACAATACGTAGTGTCGGGTGTTATAGTAAAAATTAATGATACAGATTTTTATGCATAGATCGGCAAAAGCTCGCAAAATATTATTAGAATTAGTATTTAAAAAATCGATTCACCACGCATACTAACAGCTACGTAATAATTTTTTTCTGACAATTTTTGGGGCAAATGATTATTATTATATTGTAAAAAGAAGTTACGGTTTTAAATTTCATTTACTAAGGTTAATTCGTAATAAAATTCACCTTTTGTTTAAAAGTTTATATGTAAAATTTAAAAAATCTTTAATTAAAAAATATAAAACCGTAACTTCGTTTTACAATACTATAATAATCATTTGCTGCAAAAATTGTCAGAAAATAATTATTAGTATGCAAGGTGAATCGATTTTTTTTTTAAAATATATACTATATAATAATATTTTGCGATATAAATACAGTATATCCCAAAAAAGTATACAAACAGTATACGTATACGTATTTGCGAAACTAATTCTGATCAATCTTAATTAATGTACAGTTTAAAATTTGTCCGAGTCATAACACTGCATACAGTATACAGGGGAGTACTTTAGGTTTGCTTAAATATCACATAATTTTAAATAAGAAAATTCCCACTTGACGTTATATTCTATATATCTAACGCAATGCAACAAATAAGAAAACCTAAACCTAGTTTCGAAAATTAATATATGAACCGTTTCCAGGTTTTCATTCTCACGCACTCATATATTAAGGAATCCTTGCATATCTGATATACGTGCGCACACGTAGTATACGTAAAATGTAACAGGTAATGTATAGTTAAGAAAGTATGTATACGTAGTAGAAATTAAGATGGTACGTATGTATAGTTTTGTAAAAGAAATTCTTTGAGATTTTACCTATAAACTATACTAACCAAACATGAAAAAAGGACAACACTAGCTAATCATACATTCGTAAATTTTCTTGGCTTATATCTACTATACCTATACCTATACAATGGGGGTATACATGTTAATATTTCTGTAGTTATCACATGTTTTAATTAATTTTATTGGTCAACTCAATAACGTGATTTAGTGGTATCAAAAAATTTTTTTAGATAATCATTCGTTAGTCGCTTCGAAAATTTTAAAGCAATTTTTCCAATTAATCGAAGTTCGATTCGGATCACACCATTCAAAACATGGTATTCATTTCCTTCATTTCTATCAATTCATAAAATCATTTACTTTTCACTTCATTATTCGTTCTATGTTTTATAAGTCAAATACAGGACGCTCAGGTTTACCGTCTAAGAAAGAAAAATTAAAAGAAAGGCACGAAAAATGGATGCAGAGTAATTTAATTTTCATATTTGAATACTAATCATAGTTAAATTAATTTTGAGCATTCATGTTTAAATTTGAATATTCATTTCTATTGAAAAGGAATTTTCAAAACAATATGATATTTATATTTTATAGATAAATGAATATTCGGATCAGAACATTAGTGCAAAGTCTATATTTTATTTATTTATATTCACCAAAAATTTACATTTTATATTTTGTGCGAAAGGGTTCGAACCTACGAGACCTAGAGTTATTAAAGACAAAATCAACAAGAAAAAAAGAAAAAAAAAGATCATTTCGCTCGAAGAAACTCTAAATATTTCTTCATTGGTAGAAAGTCTCCCAAAAATTGATAATGATCCAAATTTTCAACCACAATCACAAACAAGAAAATTACATCAAAAATCACCTACAATTGGATTAAATATTAAACCTGTAAATTCACAAATAGCAAGGAAAAAAATTATGTAAATATTTGTTTCCATATATATGCACAGTGAATTATTTAATTATATAATATAAATTTTAAATTTTGATTTAAAATTTTTATTATTAGAAAAGAGGAAATCCAAAGGTTTCATAAAGTAATACAGCATTCCGCTTTTAAAGCAGATCCATTATCAGCCATAAGACAACATGTTGAAAATAATGTAGAAAAAAAAGCGAGCATTCCAAATGATAGTAATCCAATGAATATAGATAAATGCTATTAATAATCTATTAATAATCTATTAATAATCTATTTTTCCGTTAACTTTGCCCTCTTATGTCGCATCTGTGCAATTTTTACTTTTCGAAGCATATTTACCACTTCATTTAATATCAATACCTGATAAAGAATGTTATAAATTATTATTTACATGTCTATTAAATAATAGGATTTTGTTTCTTATGCTTACCACGCCTATCATCGTATTGATTAATACAGGAAAGGAAAATACCATGGAAATAAAAAAGCCGTTTTCATCAAAATAATCTTCATTTGAAAATTTTTCCCAGTGGTTATGTGCAATGGAATTTATTTGTCGTGAGAAACTAGCCAGGATCACTTATATGTGTTCGTGTGGTTTCATAAAATTTAATAAGAGATAGTAAGGAATTATTCTCATATTGTATGTCGTTTAAAAAAGACTCACTTAAACTAAATGTCACAATAGCAAGAGAATTCGAATTATTTCGAAATTTAATCAGTAGAAAAAAGGTTAAGATATGAAAAGAGAGCACTGTCAATAACCAGGGTTGTGACCATTCGACCTTAAATGTATGCAAGTCAACAATTAACGTGAATTGAGCAAATGACTATTAGCATAAAAGAAAGCAAATACCGCATTAACAAAAGCCTGGACACTCTCTACAAAGCCCTCCCAACTCAACACATCAGAATGAGTTTTTGCAAAGTGGTAAACGGGTATTCGATTAGTAGATTCCTCAAAAGATTCTACGCTATGCCGTGAATACAGAAAAATTTAGCTAATTATCTTTTGCGTAAAGAAGTAGAATGTAATTACAGTTACCTAGGTGTCATTTCTTGTAAAGCTTTTCACAAAATATCATATGTGCTAAACCGATGCATTTTCATTAGTGTGATATTTTCGAATTGCACATCAATTTTTTAAATTGACCAATGAAATTGCTTTTATAATAAATAAGGGCCCGGAAAGTGAAAATAATTCAGTAACGGCCCAAATCAAAAATAATTACATATGGGCCTAATTTTTAAAAAATATTACATACATACGTACGTACGTATAAGGGTCCACAATAACTACGACTTTATTCAAGCCTGTGACTTGATCATTATTAGCATAAGAAATATAAGCATTGATAAATGTTGTTATTAAGCGCATAAAAAAATGTAACAATCGATTGTAAACTAGTAATTATAAATGCGAAAAGAATTTTTTTGATTCTACTTATTGTTATAGAAAATCACTATGATGTCAAGTAAAGCACTGCGAATTGGCATGACATTTACTAATATGGAAGATGTTCGTTCAGCTCTAGAGAGCTACTCTGTTGCCTTATAAATAATTGTGCTAGTTCAAGGCTTTTTTATACAATATTTAAGAGAAATGTTTATAACCAGCGCTTCATTTAACATTTTATCTAATAATCGGTATATAGATGACTCTAAATGCCTACGTATAATAAAACAATCGATAATCCTACAATCGCGATTTTGCAATCGTTATAAGTTAAATGGATAGAATCCCGCGGTCACGCCATCAATAGATTTTGGCCCTTATATGGAATATTTTTTAAAAATTTGGCCCTTATATGTAATTATTTTTAATTTGGGCCGGTATTTGTAATTATTTTCACTTTCTGGGCCCTTATTTGTAAATTCCCTTATAATTTATTATAAATAATCTATTTCTATTTTCTAATGCGCGGATTTGTTCAGTTAATCGACCGGCGATCAACCTCTTAATATCTCGACACATTCTAGTATACAAGATAACAATAATATCGCCTCCTGACTCCTCAGCCGCATTATATGCCCCTAATGCAATTTTTTATCTAAGACCCCTTAAATATTCTCACAAATTTTTATTTCCGAACTACTGTCAAAAAACGCATCAGCTTCTTCTCGACCTAAAACGATCAAAAATTAATAACATTAAATAATAATACAGTAAAAGATCATAATAAGTAATCATACCTATACACTTAAAATACCATGCTTTACATTGAACCACGAATCTGTACCCATGCATTTCTACAATAATATCTCGACCTCCATGGTATCAGAAATGTCTAATGAAATTAACGTGTTGTTATTATTGCGAAATACACTTGCAAATATTCTAAAAAAAATAATTTAATGAGTATATATTTCATCGTCATAAGTACGTACGTACGTGGTTGGTGCCAACATGTATCTTACTCACCCCGTATGTGTAACTATCACACATAGTTCTTCAAATCTTCTCTCCAATGCATACGATGATTCGCCTTCAATATGTACGAATTCCTCGATTTCAAATTCTTAAAAATACATTTTATTTGAACAAATAACAATTTGTATCAGTGAACATTGAAAAAAAAACATTTTTAGAATGAACAGATTTATATCTTTTCGGTTTAGTTTCAAACCTGCTTTATTTGTACACCCCAACTCATGCATACATTATGTTATAATAACTGGTTAAAGTAAGGTCTGGGATTTTAGCAAGGTGTTAGATATATCTATCGGCAACCAACCCATGTGTATATCGACCGAATTTAGTTTTCTACTGTGCCCGTCGTTATGCATAACGATAAGCCTTGCAAGGTGATACACAAAATTGAAAATATATAATTACAAATTAGGGCCCAAAATAAAATAATTACAGATAGAGGCCCGATATTTATGCGCTTAAAGACCCGTGGCTTAATAACTCGAATGATAATTAATGAATACAAATTCGAATGTTTATAAAAAATGTATCTTTAGTCTATTTAATTCTCTATTTATTCATTATCTGCATGTTAGAATTATTTCTTGATTCAATACAAAAATTCCTGGCATATTTTTTAAAATTTATTTATAGCCAACATACAAATTTTGATAACAAAAATTTACCGTCACCTACAATCAGACAAGCAAGACAGTCACAAAAAACTCGTTTATGTAGTTGTGAAAAACAGCACCCGAAAACCAGGTTACTTATAGTAGATATAATAGGAAAGGTTATGATTCACGCATGTAGACTGTACATTTTTTTCTAATTTTTTAATGCTAAATAGAAAAATCTGTGTCTAGCAATTATATAATTAGATTTGAGTAATAAACATAATAAATTTGTATGCCAATTTAGTAATTATTCTTTAAATTCAATATAACGATAACTATTAATCACTAGAAACAATTACTGTTAGGTTGGATCAGGTTTGATAGCCAACTATAGTTTTGGGCCTTTATTTGTAATAATTTTCGAATATCGGGCCTCTATCTATAATTATTGTCATGGCTGATGCTGAAATTTGGACCTATTTTGTTATGTATTTTTATAATTTTTTTGGGGTGTTCTTTTCCGCTTTTTTTAGGGTCGGGTTAAGATTTAGGGATAGAATTGATAATTAAAGAGTATATGTGGATTCTGGCAGGGCTTATATTTTAAATTGAGGCCCTAGATTTCAGCATTAGTCAATTTCAGCATCAGCCGTGACAATTATTTTTATTTTAGACCCTTATTTGTAATTTTCTTTAAATTCTATATGTGGAATTATTCTAATGAATATCTTTGTTAAACCATCATTACCTAATAGTAACCGATTTAATTATTTGAGAATTATTACATTCACAACACTTATTGGGTGTTACCAATCAGTTTAATTACAAACATATAGCAAGATACATTTAATAAGTAAAAAATTTGAATTAAAAAAAAAATTAGAAATTTGAACTTTTGAAATCTATTTAAAAACTGATATATTTTTTCAGATTAGAGGTATTATGATGCATGTTAGATATTATGAAATTACTAGATATAAAAAAGATCAACTAACAATAATCTTTTATCTTTTTTTATATAACTGTTCTTTCTTTTTTTATTTACTTTTAGCTTTTTTTTGTGCTTTTTCTGCTTTACAATTAGCATGTTTCTGAGCAGCTTTCTTTCTTTGTTTGTTTTGCTTTGTTTTTTGTTAATTAGTAAAAAGTCAAAAAAATGGCAAGGTTTTTAATTTTTTAACTAACTAGATTTTTTTCATTGCCTTGTACTAAAACTTGAAAAGTAGGATACTTGAAGTCGAATTTTAATAAGCAGATACCAGAATTTTGAATATTTCAAGTTTTTTCTTTAATAATTTATTCTTTTTCTTTAAAGTATAATTTCTGACAATAATTTATTTTCTTTAATAATATTGGTTAGGTTTGAAAAAAGCAATATAAAAGGGTGTGGCAACTTAGTGAAGTTGGTAAGTTGTCACACCCCCAAGTGGCAGGACAAGAGTTTGAATCCCACTGGTGACAAAATTTGAATTTTACAGAATGTGTTACAGCAGACTGTATATAATCTGATGGATCATCAGATCTGTAGCTTTGGTCGTATTAGCTTGTACTGGAAGAATGTGGAACTATAGTGTGATACAAGAGTTATATGAAATCTGAATAAAGCATTTGTATAAATCCAAGGGCTGAGGTATACAGAATCCCTATTGGCAAGTTCCAAGTAGAGAGGTAGCACAGATCTTTGATGATGCTATATAAAGAATTATCACTGAAGATCTAAAAACTGGACAGGACCGAGGTGTTTGGCAAAGTACCATACCAACCAGACTATCAGTATATTCCGAGGAAGGGATCCACCCTTCTGAGTTATCTGGATTGGGAGTTTGGGGACCGGTGAAATGGTAGATGGTCTGTAAAGTAGATGTTGGAGTTTGGGTGAACTCTACAAGGTCAGAAGTAGATAATGATAGCAGCTTCGGTCCGCAAGTACTCATTTTCGAACTTGGTGTAAGTTACTGAAAGTCTAGGTTAGTCAGATTGTGGTACGAAAAGCTCTAGCAACGATGCCTTGAGGATAAATTAGTCCTAAGGTTACGGTATGCATCTGGAACTCTTGACTGACAAATGTAACAGAGTGTTCTGATGATACAAGGGAGCTGTATACGTTACAGAGGATTTAAATAGGTAATTTCCTAATTGGGTTATAGGTATGGCAGCTAATGCAGAACCTATAGTGTACAATTATCTATACGTGGACTACTTAAATAGGTGCTCAAAAGATGCACGTATGGCTAGTTGTATTCTCTAATGTAATTGGGGTTCCATTATGAGCTCTCTGCCCATTATACTTGAATAAAAACCCTACGCCAAAGAGGCTAGTTAATAAAAAAAAAAAAAGCAATATAAAAGAATAGTACTTTTTTTTAAAAAAATAGTATAAATAATAATAATATAGAAAATACCACAACTCTTTCTGATAATTACTTATACTAATCTAACACTGGAAGCAAGTTGAAGATTTAAACTTAGAAGTCAACAACAACTTTAAGTTTTTTGATACAAACTGTTATTAACAAAGTCTTTAAACATGATACACCAAGGGTGTGGTGACTTAGTGAAGTTGGTAAGTTGTCGCATCCCAAGCAGCAAAACCAGAGTTTGAATCCTACTGGTGACAAAATTCAAATTTACAGAAAATGCATTTAGAAAACCATATCCTATTTGGATCAGCATCTGTAATAGGGGTCGCACCAATATCATTATACTGAGAAGCAGTAAAAATACTATATAATATATGATTACATAATAGTGAAGCTGCTGTGTAAAACCAGCAGATTGGAATATAGAAGTCTGCTTGGCAAGACCCAAACAGAGAGGTAGCACAAATCTTTGATGATATTATCTGATAATCCAAAAAGAGGAAACTGAATGGCAGAAAAAGAAAAAACCAAATGGTAAGAAAAGAGAGAACCAAATGAGACCAAAGTGTTTAACAAAGCATTCCACCAACCAGGCTGCTAGACAAGTAACCAGAAGAAAAGGACCCAATTGTGGATATCAGAAGTAGATTACAGCTATTCAGGCTATCT